GCAGAAACACTAGCAAAAATAAAGTTCTTATTATTAAAGAAGGCAAAAATGGAAAATCATATTTACACTAGAAAAATGAAGAAAGGAAAAAAAAGAGAAATCTAGGAGGGAAAAGTTGAAAAAAAAAGCAGTGTATATATCTTTATATATCTCGCTGAATATTGTCTGGGCAATAGGTGATCTTCTGGTATATGAGATGCTAATCACAATGCTGATGCAGCTGTACAAGATGGAGATTGGAGGCCTCTGTTGACTACTTTGCCCTCAAACCCTACAGGGGTTGAGAGCATGAGTCTCTCCTCAATGTGCTTAAAAGACACTTTAAACCATGAACCTTGGCTAAGCAGAAGCTTTCCCAGGAAAGTACTTGTCACTGGGATTTCTCCTGAAGTGGCTGCCTGCCTATCTGGTGCACCCAAATTGGCCTCACTCTATGCCCTTGAGGGCCAAGGCTGCAAGGCAGCCTTCCCACTGCCAAACACTGAAAGTTCCGCTCTTCCCCACATCTCAGTCCCAGCCTTTTGCTCTGCTTACAGTTACTAGATCACACATCCAAGGTCTCCCAGCACCAGCCTCGCTCTGTGACCCTGAGGGCAGAGCCTGCAGTGGCAGTTCTCTCACAGGTGGCTGTGCCCACAGCCCACAGCTGAACAATGTTAGCTCCATTCAGCCCAGCTGCTCAGTCCTGTGCCCTGGACAATGCTTAAAGTCACCTGCACTCTTGCCCAAATTCTTCTAAGATAATTCTACCGAGTGCTGAAGTCCAAACCAAATGACCCACAGGGAAGACTTTTCCTGCCTGCAATCTCACTGCTATTCCAGCTACAGCCAGAGCAGCCCGTTCGCAACCACTTGCCACTTCTCCACTGCTTTTGTCCTCCTTCTGGGATCCAGAAGTCTCTTGTTATCTCCCTGTGTCCCCAAAGGGATGTTTCTGGGCAGAGCCCACAAGCCAGAGATGCCTGGAGTCTTCTTTCCTCAATCTCACTGCTCCCAGTTGTAAAGAAGCTGTTACATGGCCACCATCTTGCTCTGCCCCAAAGTGTATTATTATCTTTTATTGTTTTTTTAATCCAAATACTTTTTTTGTGTGTAGTGACAAAGTCTTTACTTTATGGCCCTTGGTAGAGTGCCATGGCATCACAGCTCAGAGCAACCTCCAATTTGTGGGCTTAAGCAATTCTCTTGCCTCAGTCTCCTGAATAGCTGGGACTACAGGCACTCACCACAATGCCCAGCTATTTTTTTGTTGCATTTTGGCCAGGGCTGGGTTTGAACCTGCCACCCTCAGTATATGAAGCCAGCACCTTACTCACTGAGCCACAGGTGCTGCCCTTCCAAATACTTTCAATCTTTGATTGGTTGAACACATGGAGACAGAGCCCAAGGATATGGAAGGCCAACTGTAAGTATTGCAACCACCATATTTCAGAAGCACTACATTTATTTAGACCTTGGTACTCACAATTAATATTACATATAAAGAAAACTTCTACAGCAGAAAACGTTTTTGCCATAATTAAATTGCAACTTGCATAAGCCATTTTTCTCTCTAGTTAAGGTGTTTCCTTAATCAAATGCCTTATAATACTAGTCATATTTCATCACTGAAAATAAGTCACTTATTTTATCTTTTGGTAAAAAACTTTTTTTCTTATGTCACAGCAATATAATTTAGCAGTTTTAGAGTACTAACTACCAAATTAACTTATAAAAGTATATAGTTACTATCTGCTAAATGTGGTCTGTACCATGGGCAAATGGAGCTTATCTGTGTTAATTTTTAAAAGACTGAATAAAATTTTAACTAATAAAAATTTAATTAATTACTTTTTAATAGAGAGATAGGAAGAATTAAAGCATTTGTATCTCCAGTAGTCAACCCAACCCTTCGTTCAGAGCAAAATATGCCCATTTTACTTACAGATGTCTTAGTTCCTGTGTGGCACATAGGCACCTTACAGATCGTCTCCACATGAGCTGTCAGCTTCTCCTTGGTCTGGCAAATTTCTGTAGTTCTGAGTGTATAGTTTCCCAGGTCACGTCCAGGTAAGGCTAACTTACTGCCTGGCACATTTGTTTGTCCAGCCCTGGATTTTTCCCAGTTCCAGGCTCCACGAATCCAACAAGCCACTTGACACCTCTACTTGCATGTGTGACAAGCATCACTATTTCGTAAGATCAATAGCAAACTCTTGATTTCTGCATCTCTCCAAACTTGCTCTTCCTGGCCATTGACCAGCACTATCCTCTCCTCACTGCCCAGACCAAAAGCCCAGGTATCAGCCTTGAGTCCCCTCCCTCTGACACATCTAATCCATCTTCCAGTCCTTTCAATTCTACCCCATACCCACTACCCCTACCTCCAAGGCTGCACCACAGTCTGAGCAACCAGAATCTTCTACACATACTGGCTTTAGCATCCCATTCCTCCTGTATTTACTTTTGCCCCCAGGATCCATTTTTCACCCAGCTACCAAAGCAATCTTTATAAAAAACAAGCAGACTGGGCCCAGTGAGGTAGCTCACACTTGCAATCCTGACATGTTGGGAGGCCAAGGCAGGACAACTGCTGGAAGTCAGGAGTTTGAGAGCAGCCTGAGCAAGAGCAGGACTCTGTCTCTACAAAAACAGAAAAATCAGCCAGCTGTCATGGTGGGTGCCTATAGTCCCTGCTACTTGGGAGCTGAGGCAAGAGGCTCACTTGAACCCAAGAGTTTGAAGTTGCTGTGAGCTAGGCTGGTAGCATGGAACTCTAGCTGGGTGACAGAGTGTGACTCTATCTCAAAAACAAAAACCAAAAAACTAAGCCTATTCATAAACGTCTTCAGTGCCTTCCTAGTACAAATAGAATAAAATCTGTAAGGCCCTAGCCTCATCCACTCCCTGTCCCAACCCCCCGCATGCCTTCTTTCTGTCTTTAGGGGTACTGTGCTGAGACTGTTTCCCCAAATCATGGCCTTAGCCTTGCTGTTCCATGTGCCTGGACAGCCCCTTCCACAGTCTGCTCATGTCTCAGCCCCATGCTGCCTCCCTGGAGGGGTCTTATCTGTCACCTAATCCAAAGTGCTGTCTGTCACTTCCATCACATCACCAGCTGTCAAAAATTATCTTAAGAGTTTATTCCATTACCTTCACTTCCTCTCTTTACAGCATTAGGTAAGATGATTTCATATATTTATTTTTAATGCTTTATTATATTTTAACAATATTTTTATATATAAAGGTTTTTAGAGCTTTGCACAAATGCCTCCTCCCTGGTAACAACTTTCCTGCCACCCTGTCACACCATGTCATCAGCTGCTTTATTTCTGTTGTCCTCAGGACTGATCACAGGCACATCTACTGTACTTCCCTGACTCGGCGCTCCACAGGGGCAGGGGCGTCTAATACATGTTCTGTTTCTGGCCCTCTTGCTAGTGCCTAGAACTGGCCTGGCACGTATAAGGCTCTTAATAAATATTTTTGATTGAGTGAAAAAATATGTTCCATTACTAAAATATAAGATCCATAAGAACAGAGACTTTTAGAATGTTCATTATATTACATTGTAAACATATATATGTGTATATATATAGAGAGAGAGAGAGAAAGAAACAGAGTTTCACTTTCTCACCCTTGTTAGTGTGCTGTGGCATCATAGCTCACGGCAACCTCAAACCCTTGGGCTCAAGCAATCCAATCCTCTTGCGTCAGCCTCCCAAGTAGCTGGGACTACGGGCACCTGCCACAATGCACCAGGGACTATGGGCACCTGCCACTATTTTAAGGGACAGGGTCTTGCTTTTGCTCACTAGGCTCAAACAATCCACCCACCTTACCCTCCATTGTTAAGTATTTTAAATTTTTCTGTCATTATGTTTTGACAGCTTCATAAACATGCCTGGTTAGGGAGAGAGTGCCTTTTGGAGCTGGTCACTTTTTTTTTTTTTTTTTTGCAGTTTTTGGCTGGGACCAGGTTTCAACCCGCCACCTCCAGTATATGGGGTCAGTACCCTACTCCTTTGAGCCACAGGCACCGCCCAGGAGCTGGTCCCTTCTTAGAGATAGCAAGTGCTAAGCTAGGAGCAAGGTGCTGATATGCAAAATAAGGGATCCAGAACCACACCGCCCCTATCTGGCCTATGGCCCAGGACACAATATTCCTCTGCTTTCATCACCCCAGCTATAGGGACTACCCCTATAGCCCAAAGCCTGCCGAAGTTACTCAGACCAGCCAACCTACACTGTGCACCCCACCCCACCTGCCTTTTCCATGGAAACCTCAATAGAGGCCCCAATCTAAAGTATAATACCCTCTACTTTTTCTGAGCCTGTCCTGTGTCTCCCCTTGTGTCCACACCTGAAGGGTCATCCTGTAAATTAATATAAAGCAGATATCCCAGGGCCAAAAACAGTACCCAGCAAGGGGTGGGTTTATGTCATTACAGGTGAATGTGGACAATCTCGGTGAAAGCTGGAAATTGGAGGAAGGTGGATACAAAGGAGCTGGTGGCTGTGGGAGACGGGAACAAGGTGGCCGGTAAGAAATGAGTCAGTTGAAAGAAATTGTAGAGAACTCAGAGGGTAAACCACTTTATATTTTTTAAAAAGTATTTCCTAAGCATACTTGCAATGTCTAGTTATAAAACCAAGAGTCTGAAAGTGCCAAGAAGGCTTAAGTGAAAACCACGTGGTAGGTTGAAATGGAATGAGAACTAGGGTCATGAAAAATCAATGACAAAGGGGTCATACTTTATTTTCTTTTCAAAACCAGAGAGAATTCCTACGGAAGGGGCACAGAAAAATGTTACTGAATTCGGCAGCATGCAACAGTGATAATTAATTGTCTTATTTAAAATAGCACTTCTGACTTGGGTTTTTGCATATACATGAGAAACTGATTCTGTATAGAAAAATAGAAGGGGCAAGGAGAAAATGCAAAGAGTGAGAAGTGAAGAATCCGATTACACAGAATACACAACACCAATAAAGTTTTCTAAGTGGAGGTTTTACGATACCTGCGCCTTTCCGTATCTTGCTCGGGGACTCTGAGGGTATTTGTGCACTAGTTCCTTAAATGCATCCACTGCTTCCTCGATTTTTCCCTGTAAGGAAGATGCAATTCCATAAATAGAATAAATCTAAATGTATAATGTTATTCAATATGATTATTTAATATCACCAAGTGATTCTGTCAAAATTTACTATATTCTATTCTCAGTTCAAAGATAGTTTTATCTAAGATTTTTTAAAAAACTAGAAATGAACATATTTATACTTAGTTTTTAAAAAAGACAGCTGATAAATAATGTGTGCCTCTGTTAAAGAAACTGCATTTTCCTTCCATATATACCGTTCCCACCTACATTCTCAAAGAGGATATTTAGGTTTGCAGTGGGTGATAAGGGATACCACTGGTAGCTAGAATGTCTTGGGTCTTTGCAAGTCAATAAGAGATCTCAGCACAGCTTTGAAGATTATATTAAAAGGGCAGGGAATGAACATGCAGGATGAGAAGGCCACTTGGTGATGATACCCTCACCCTCTGAGCAGGTTGACTGCTCGTTTGGCTAACCAGTGTGTATCACTGCCTCTGTATCATGTGACCCATCCTAACACTCCCAGGGACCCTTAAGAAGGTGGCCCAAGTGCCTTCAAAAGGTTTCCAGCCACTACCACATGTGAAGAAACCGAGTGTGTGCAGCAGGAAGGCGGGGAGAGGCACCCTCCCTGCACTACTCTCCAAGCAGTGCCCCTGCACAGCAGAAACAAATGTCTCCTCACTTCCAATGGACAACCTGCTTAGGTCAAGGATATTGGGAACCTTAGAACAGAGACACATTGTTGAAGTTTCCCTGATACGTCAACTGTCTATAAATTGGTGAATCCACTCATTCCATGTGTAAATGCAAGCAAGCTCACTGTGATTGATATGTTTCAACCTTCACTGAGTTGAGGTGTTAGACAAAAACTTACTTCACAAACATGACTGTGCAAAGCAGACTGTAAAGCACTACTCAGTTGTTCACAAGTACTTCTGAAAGATTTAATTGAATATTGAGGAGTCAGGCAATGCCCACGTTAAAGTTCCTCCTTCAAATCATTGCTGTATTTACAATGCTGGTGGGACTGCAAACTAATACAACTTTTTTTGGTAGGAAGTATGGAAAATCCTCAAAGAACTCAAATTAGACCTCCCATTTGATCCTGCAATCCCATTACTAGGTGTCTACCCAGAAGAAAAAAATCATTTTATCATAAGGACATTTGCACTAGACTGTTTATTGCAGCTCAATTTACAATCACCAAAATGTGGAAATAGCCTAAATATCCACCACTCCGGGAATGTATTAACAAGCTGTAGTGTATGTATACTATGGAATAGTATTCAGCCATTAAAAAGATGGAGACTTTACATCTTTTGTATTAACCTGGATAGAGCTGGAACATATTCTTCTTGTAAAGTATCACAAGAATGGAGAAGCAAGAATCCAATGTATTCAATTCTAATATGATGCAGGCAGATGATCTAATGCATACCCACATAAAAGAAAGTCTCAAATCAATTCAAGGTGGGACGCAGGGGAATAAGGGAGCAGGGGGAGGGGTGGAGGGAGGGAGATGGATGTGCTCCCACTTAATGGGCACAATGTTGGGTGTATGGCACACCTCTTGGGGGCAGGACACAATTATAAGTGGGACTCTACCTAACAAATGCAAACATTGTAACCTGATTCTTTGTACCTTCAATTAACCTTAAACAATAAAAAAAAAAGAAATTTTTCCTACCAAACAAAATCATTGCTGTAGGTTGATTATCATCAAAGAGGGAGGTTTTCTATTCCCTCTCACATGCCTACAAGTGGTGCTGGAGGTTGGTGGCAAGTATGTGTTTAGTGTAGTAGTTGTGAGTGCAGGCTCCAGAATGACTGGTTTGAATCTGGGCTCCTCAGCTTACAAGATGTATGACATACGGCAGGTCACTTATGACTCTCCCTAAGGTACCCACCTGCAAACCCGATTACCTTGTGAGGTGGGTGTGAAGGTTAACTATGATAACATACATTGCTTATAGACAATGCAGAGAGCAATGGGAACTATTATTACTGTGGCCTGTGGGGAGTGTGGGCAGGCACAAGATAATCACCTAGGGGAAAAGCAGCTTATTCGAAAGAGAATGAGAACTTAGATGCAGGGGTAAACCAAGCCAAGAACATATTCTCTAAGTCTGTGGTCCCTAACCCCTGGCAGCAGACCAGTACTGGTCTATAGCAGCTAGGAACTGGGCCACTCAGCAGGGGCTGAGAGCAGGTGAGGGAGCAAAGTTCATCTGTATTTACAGCCACTCCTTACAGCTCACATCACCACCTGAGCTCGCCCCGTCAGATGAGCGGCTGTATTAGATGCTCAGAAGTGTGAACCCTGTTGTAAACTGCACATGTGAGGGGTCTAAGTCGCAAACTCCTCATGAGAATCTAACACCTGATTATCTGAAGTGGGATGGGATGCACTTGAATCATCCAGAAACTATCCCCCATCCCCTCTCCCTACCCCACCCCTGTCAGTGGAAAAACTGTCTCCCATGAAATTGTGCCAGAAAGGTTAGGGACCCCTGCTCTACCTTATACTTATTGCCATAAATAATAGCATCACTATTTAAAATACACTGTCTTTCTCACAATATTAATTTTTAAAACCTCTATTTTATTTTTTCTGTGAATGATTTTAAGGGGTGTTATTTCTCTCCATGTGATTTTCTTATAAAAATCCTGTATTAGTTTCCAGTGGCCACTATAAGACATTACCACAAAATTGGTGATTGGAAGCAAGTGAAATTAATTCTCTCTCAATTATAGAGAACAGAAGTCTGAAGAAAAAAAAAAAACTAGTTTCATGGTCAGCAAGGCTGCATTTCCTCTGGAGTTTCTTGTTTTTGTTTGTTTGGTTTTTTGACAGGGTCTTGGTTTTTATCACCCAGGCTAGACTGTAATAGCATGATCACAGCTTACTGTAGCCTTGAACTGGGCTCACATGATCCTCCCATCTCAGCTTCTAAAAGTGCTGGGATTACAGGCCACCTCACCTGCCTCCCCTGGAGGCTCTAGCAAGAATCTCTCCTTGCCTCTTCTTGCTTCTGGTAGCTGCTGGAATTCCTTGGCCTAATGGCTGGGTCACTTAATCTGCATCTTCATATCACCTTTTGTGTGTGTCTTCTGATCTATCTATATCAAATCTCTATTTGCCTGTCTTAGGACACAGTCAGGGCCACCTAGATAATCCAGGAAAAAAAATCTCTCTTTTGCAAGATCCTTTACTTAATCACAATGACCTTCGTGACCCGTAATGACCTTCTTTCCAGATAAGGAACAATCATAGGTTCCATGGATTAGGGTGTGGATATCTTGGTGGGGTCTCGTTCAGCCTTCTAAACCATGCCTTTTGGTCCCCAGAGATTTGTGTCTGTCTCAAATGAAAAATACATTCACCCCACCCCAGCATTCCCCAAAGTCTCAAACCAGTATAGCAGTCATGCAAGTCTAAAGTCTCATCTAAATTTCATCAGGTACAATGTCCCAAGTCTAACCATCACAATTATCTGAATTAGGTACGGTTGACACTATGGTTTTGGCACATCACAAGTAAAATTCCTCTCTATCTATGGACCTATGAAACTGAAAAACAAGTTACCTGCTTCTAAAATACAACAGTGGGATAAGCCCAGGACATTTACAGACATTTCTGCTCCAAAGAGAGAAAGTGGAGGGAAGAAAGGTCTCTGGTTCCAAGCAACTTCATAAATCTAGCCAGACAAATTCCACTACGTTTCACAGTCTGGGAATAATCCCTGTGGTTTGAGGCTCTGCCCCTGGATCCTTGGCTCTGCTCCCTGGAGTTTTCCTGCCTTTCATTGCACCTGATTAGTTTTATCAGCCTGTTGGGAGGGTGTGTCAGCCTTTCATTTTGTTCCTATCTCTCAGTACAAGCTGGCAGTGCCTCTGATGATACAATATTCTTAAACCCTGTGGGTCTCCTGTGTAAGTCTCACAGGGATTCACACCATTAGATGAGAGTCTCCTCCTGTATAATCTCCTCTCTCTTTCTGACTTCTGCTGAAATGGTTGAATGGATTCAAGAGATAACATCTTCAGTGTCTTCAGGAAAAAGATCCCCAATCCTACCCTTGCAACTCTCTCCAAAGTATGTTGCCCTAGCAGTGAATCTCCTAATTTTAGCATCTTCTGCAATCCAAATTGACTGAGAAATTTCCAGATTATCAAGGGCTGTTTCTTTTTACCTTAACAAGTCTTTCTTCAATTTATCTCTTTCCTCTCATATTTCATTATATGCAGCTAAAAAACAAAACCCAAAAAAATCAGGGCACATCTTCAACACTTTCTTTGCTAGGAAATGTCCTTCACCAAAATATATAAGTTTCTTGCTTATGAATTCTGCTTTCCACGTAACTGCAGGACATAATTTAGGTAGACTTTCTGCCACTGTGTAATAAGGGCCACCTCTCCTCTGGTTTTCAGGAGGATGTGCCTCTGTTCCTTACAGGCTCTTGCCAGAAGTACTTTTATTTTCTGGACATATTTTCTTTTCTTCTAATTTTAAAATATTTTAAAATGTTTTTGTTACATGGATACCTTCATTATGCTAAAGTCAGGGCTTCTGGTGTGCCCATCCCCAGAACAGTACTCACTGTACCCAGTAGGTAGCTTCTTACCCCCACATCTCCTTCCTTCCTCCCACTCCTTGTTTCCAGTGACCTTTACATCCCCCTGTGCCTGTGTGCACCACCGTTCAGCCCCCACTTCACTGTGAGAACACATGGTGTTTCTCTTTCCATTCCTGAGATACTTCACTTAGGATAATGGTCTCTAGTTCCAACCAAGCTGCTGAAAACAACATCTTTCATTCTTTTTATGGCTGAGTAGTACCTTTAAAGTCTACATTTCTACCTCCTATTCATGATCACATGTGTACTCTCTAAGATGACAGAAGCTTTCTCTACTGTGCTCCTCACTACACTAGAAAACCCTTAACATTCATATTTCTGGCCAAGGATGGTGGCTCATACCTGTAACCCTAGTACTCCAGGAGGCAGAGGCAGGATGGTTGCTTGAGCTCAGGAATTCTAGACCAGCTTGAGTAAGAGCAAGACCCCATCTCTACTAAAAATAGAAAAATTAGGCAGGCATTGTGGTGGGTGCCTCTAGTCCTAGTGACTTGGGAAACTAAGGCAGGAGGGTCACTTGAACCAAGAGTCTGCAATTGCCGTGAGCCAGGCTAATGCTACAGATCTGTAGCCTGGGCAACAGAATGAGACCTCATCTCAAAAAAATTAAAAAACAAAAAAAAACCCTCCGTATTTCCACCATCTGCTGTTTAAGGCATTCCTAGGCACTTCACACATCCTTTGAAAATATTAATACTAACTTAAAAACAACCCTAAAAGACTTAATCATGCTGGAAATTTAGTCAACAATATGGCTCCCTGTTGTTTCAGAAGCAAGAAATGCATATGTGGCCACTCCGCCCCTTTCATTTGCTCTG